TTAACTCTTTGTTTCATCAGTTCTGGTGTCAAACAGACCTGGAGTGTCGATAACAGCAACCTTTTGTCCGTTCACCTCACCTCACCTACACCGAGTGTAGTCAAAGATTTAAGGGAGAACTCTGATTTAAAGTACTGTGTTCCCAGAACGGTGTTTCCTGTGGTGCTCTTCCCAACTCCAGTCTTCCCCACCATCACAATCCTGATCTCCTCATTGCTGTATCTGGTCATATCTAAGGGGTAGATCAGATATTATTAATCTGCAGTTGTGTTAATCACTTTATGTCTGTGTACTGTATTGTATTGAACTAAAAAGTAAGGCTGTGGACCTTAACTTTAACCATTTTTATAATAATCCTAACCATACCACAATTGCCATCACCCAGGTGGTCATAAAGCTATGGCTGATTGGTGTATGTTATATAATAATCAGTCTATATGTTTTGGGTGTTGTGTTTATAATGCTTATATGCATAATAACGTCAATATGGTGTGCTCGTTTACTGGTTATCATCATTTTTTGTATTTGTCATTGTGTGCTGTCACCAGTTTGGTCAAGTCTAGATTAGTAGACTAGTAGTACTAGACTAGATACTAGTGATAGACTAGTATTTAGTCTATCACTGTCTTAGCCTTGCTATAAGCTGGTCTGCTGCTGAGCTGAAGAAGTCTGTCTGCAACAATGCTTCCTCATATAAGCCAACCTTGTTCCCCCCTCCCACCAGCATTTACAGGAAATGCCACCATTTATTTTACACATACTCTCTGCAGCCAACCCTGTTCACCCCCCCTAAACAACAGCACACACACACATCCACTCCAGACAACAGCAAATCAGACTACTGCTATGTTACTAAACTCCCATCCTTTAAACCTCTTAAAAGCTTTAAATCAGCACCACGGACAGAGGCAGAAGTGTCAGATTTATCCACACTAATATGAAGAATGATTTAGACTTCTACATTGGAGGGTGGAAGCAGGAACTACACCTTCAGTTCCAGTTTTCAGTTTTCCATTAAACAAGCATTTGTCGTCTAAACTGAAGTTAGGCAGCTGAGCTGGGTGTGTTTGAGATGCATGCTTTGTGCGGATTCAGCCTGGCAGCGCACAAACACACTGGAACAATTTAAACAATTCCTAAGAAAACAGTTGTTTGTGTTGACCTAACGTTATCACGTTTTACTGTTAATGTGATCATGGTGGGTTATTGTGTGTGGGTTTTGGCAGACAGCTGCTGTCCCACACACAGTCGCTGCTGTAAATCAGAATGTTGATTTATAATTTGAAGTGGTACTGGCCATTGCAACTGGCCACAAGTTCCTGCAAGTCTTTACTTTTTGTCAAGAGCTTCTCAATCGGTTTCCCTTTGAGCTGGTCACCATGGGTAAAGAAACCCATGCTGTATTTGTGTGCTTCCTCTCCAAAGAAGCACTTTTTGCTGTGGCACTCTATCCAAATACGGTCTTCCCCACCAACAGAATCCTGATCTCTTCATTGTTGGTCAGTTCTGATGAGATGGCAGAAAAAACAAACAAATATTAAGCACTCCGTGTTGATCACATCTCCACATTTGTCCCTTTAACAAAACTGTATTTGTATTGATATTTCAGGAATGCCTGTCATGAATTAAAGGATGGGAGTTTCATGGTTTTGGATAGCTGGGTGTCTGTGTGCTAACACAAAAGTCCCCAAAGTCCCCCAAAGCTCGATTGATGAAAAACGAGAAACTGGAACTGAAAGTAAAATTCTTGCTTCCATCATCCAAAGTATTGTCCATTTAAAATAAAGGTTGGAATTTCCTGTAAATGCTGGTAGGAGGGGGTGGGGGTTGAGGCAGAGTGTACCTGCTCTGTATTCTTTTCCATTTCAAATAAAGGAGTGCATTTCTTGTAAATGCTGATGGGAGGGGGGGACAGGGTTGGCTAATATAAGGAAGCATTGTTGCAGACAGACTTCACCTCTTCAGCTCAGCAGCAGACCAGCTCTTCACCTCTTCAGCTCAGCAGCAGAGCAGCTCTTCACTTCTTCAGCTCAGCAGCAGACCAGCTCTTCACTCTATAATCCAGCTATGACCAGCAAATATGACAAACATGGTGAGTTATTAAAACCTATTTATAATGTTGCTTAAAATATGTATCTGAAAATGCATTCATGAGTGGACAGCATGTCATAAAATTCAACTGTTTAAAGGGGAAGTGCTTTAGTGGAAAAACTGAATATTATCTCCAGCATGTTTTGGGAGCTTGGGAGATACCTTGCCACTCTCACTCTCACGCATTTTGTTTTTTGAGCTGTAAACTGAATTATATGATAATAGACGTTATTACTAAATTTATGAAAATCTGCATTTTGTGGGTTAAAAATCACAACGTGCACTCTACTGTTATCACCCTGTGCTTTTTAAGGCAAATGCTGAAAGAGAGTCAACTGCTCAACAGCTCGCTATTAGTGCTACTGTGGTCAGTCTAGCCCCATGACAAAAAAATCTAATTGGGCCCCCTCTGCGCAGCTGTTGTCACCACATCTCTAGGACCTAACTGTCCCATCAAAAGCTTTACATAACTCTAATTAAAGGCTTGCAAC